TTTATAAATAATAATAGATATAGAATTACACCATAATATTTTATAAATAATAATAGATATAGAATTACACCATAATATTTTATAAATAATAATAGATATAGAATTACACCATAATATCATATCAATAATAACAGTTATAGAATTACACCATAATATTATATTAATAATAACAGATATAGAATTACACCATAATATCATATTAATAATAATAATATAGAATTACACCATAATATTTTACAAATAATAATAGATATAGAATTACACCATAATATTTTATAAATAATAATAGATATAGAATTACACCATAATATCATATTAATAATAACAGATATAGAATTACACCATAATGTCATATTAATAATAACAGATATAGAATTACACCATAATGTCATATTAATAATAATAAATATAGAATTACACCATAATATTTTATAAATAATAACAGATATAGAATTACACCATAATATCATATTAATAATAACAGATATAGAATTACACCATAATATCATATTAATAATAATAGATATAGAATTACACCATAATATCATATTAATAATAATAAATATAGAATTACACCATAATATTTTATAAATAATAATAGATATAGAATTACACCATAATATCATATTAATAATAACAGATATAGAATTACACCATAATGTCATATTAATAATAATAAATATAGAATTACACCATAATATCATATTAATAATAACAGATATAGAATTACACCATAATATCATATTAATAATAATAGATATAGAATTACACCATAATATTTTATAAATAATAATAGATATTGAATTACACCATAATATTTTATAAATAATAATAAATATAGAATTACACCATAATATCATATTAATAATAACAGATATAGAATTACACCATAATATCATATTAATAATAACAAATATAGAATTACACCATGATATCTTATTAACAATATATATAAAATTACACTATTATCTCATTATTAATAACAAATATAGAATTATACAAGAATATCTTAATAATAATAAATATATAATTACAAAATATCTCCATAATAATGAAATATGTATTTACATCATAAGGTTACACAATACAAAAACATTGTATGTATTTTCTGTAGTACATCAGTAAGACCATTTCCATGTTATATTTTAATTGCTCAGTACTGATTATTTTGCTTAAATTAATCTCCAACCCCACCTCTCCTCAACCACCTAGCTTTAATAGTTATAATGACGTGCGTTTAATGGATCCTAGAGTTATCTTTTTTTAGATAAACGATGTACGTATTTTTATAAAATATGTTTTCCTGTAACTTAATTCACTTGAAAGCCTGGTTATTAACTTCATATTAGACAAAGATATAGTTATTAACTAATGATGGACGTAGACAACAAAAGGTATGTATATATATACATTTTCACAAATACGTATGTGTGTGTGTGTGTGTATAACTATGCCTACGTATTTTATCCATCGTTCCGTTACCAAGATACTGCCTTACACAACTTAGTCTTTGTTTGTGTATACAAGCATAAGCAGACGATTGTGAATGTTAGCATATGTGATGTCTGTATATAAATACATAAACATTAATTCCACGTTGTGGAACAATTCTTGTTCTTTATTTCCATAATACTTTGTTTACTAAAAAGTTATAATTTTGTGTAACTGAAACTTTATCTTGCAAATGTTTCATCCATACAGTTATTATATGGTAAGAAATGTAAGCAGCTTACATTGTTCAGTTAATTCTTTGTTCAACTTACATTGTTCAGTGAATTCTTTGTTCAACTTATATTGTTCAGTAAATTCTTTGTTCAACTTATATTGTTCAGTAAATTCTTTATTCAACTTATATTGTTCAGTGAATTTATTGTTCAACTTACATTGTTCAGTGAATTCTTTGTTCAACTTACATTGTTCAGTGAATTCTTTGTTCAACTTATATTGTTCAGTAAATTCTTTATTCAACTTATATTGTTCAGTGAATTCTTTGTTCAATTTGTATTGTTCAGTGAATTCTTTGTTCAACTTATATTGTTCAGTGAATTCTTTGTTCAACTTACATTGTTCAGTGAATTCTTTGTTCAACTTTGCATCTATATAACGAAGACACCTCATAAGCACAGAACTTTGCGACTATGTAAGGAATACACCTCATAAGCCCAGAACTTTGCATCTATGTAAGGAAGACACCTCATAAGCCCAGAACTTATGAAACAGTTACCTAAAACTGAGAATATTCAAAAAATCAAATGCGTTAAAAATATACAATAGGAATTTTTGTTTTTAAAAACCAGGCATGATAAAAGATAGAAATGGACAACATTTGATACTAAAAACCATGTTTACAACATGTTTACATGACTGGTT